TACATGACAAGCTTTGGGGCCTAGGGAGGGTGGGAGTAGAGAAATGGCCTGGCCCCTCTGCGAATGGTGGGCCAGTCAGAGGAGCAGATGGAAGAGAGTGGGGGTGCACCACTAACCTGGCTGGGTCTAAGGAGAAGAGTTGGGACCAAGGGCCTTTTGGGGCCCCACCCACTGCCTGGGCAGGGACTTGAGCCAGGGGCAGTGGCTTTAATGAGAAGATGCTGCTGCCGTGACTCAGCCCTCCAAAGGTGCCTCCATTTATTTTATTTTTCCATCATAAAAACCAAAACTGAAACTCAGCCAGAGTCCTCTGTACGGCTAAGGGGTGGGATGGGGGAGGGGGAAGCATCAGCAGGGCCGATGAGGCCTGGTGGAGAGGACAGGCTAACCGCCCCCGCCCCCTACCCCGTGCCTTTCTGGGACAGCGGAACCTTTCCAACATCACTGGCTGGTCCCAACCAGGGAAATGGGGCCCGAGTAGGGTCTCTCTAGGGTTCCTTTTGGACCAGCCTCACTGCTTTGGCCTCCTGTTGGAGAATAGCTCTGCTAGGCTTTTCTCCTAAGTTTTGCTCTCAGTCTTATCACTAGGACCAGGGCTGGCTCAAGGGACCACAATGTGCTTTGTACTTTGTCACTCATCCCCTCCCTCAAGACTGCCCCAACAAACAAAAGCAAGCTGGGAGTCACACGGCCAAAGACCTTAAAGGTCACCTGATGCTCCAGTCCTTTCCAACGTCACTGCCCAGTGCACAGCCAGCCTGTTTGAATGGTACCAGGAAACCCACTACTTCCCATTCTGTCCTTGGCTCCAAGGGCTCCTTCCTGCCAGGATGGCACTAGAGCACCTACCTCCTGCAGCAGACTGGCGAAACCAGTGCCCAACGTGACTGCAGGGGCTGGCCCAGCTTAGACTGGTTGGGTGGGTTTATCTGGCCAAATTAGGCAGGAGGAAAGCAAATTGAGGGCAGTCTACTCTATCCCAAGCCCTTCCTCCAGAAACGGCACATGCTGGGTCAAAGGTGTAATAGCACTAAGGAGGTTCCTAGAAGCTTCTACTCTCGGCAAGGCCCAGGCCTTGAACAGTGGCTCACAGAAGTTCTGAGTCTGCAGGTGGGCTGACCCTCAGGGCAACAGGGCCTGAGTTGGAATTGGGGAAGCCCAGTTCTTGGCTCCCTAGGGTCAAACATCACCTGGAAAAAGTCTGCAGCCTTTCTTCTACCTCAAGACCACGTGCCCTCAAAGCATGTGCCTACCAGGACACCGTAAGAACCAGGCGAGTGAGTCGACCTGGCTCAGCGCCCTTGACCACACCCTTCCTAGCCTCCCTACAGCATTAGCCTGGGCCGGTATTCATGGGTTTGGGGGGTGGTCTGCCTGCGCTGCAAGGAGGTCTCTGCCTGGAGTCCTAGCAGCAAAGAGAAGCAGGCCTGGCTCAGCGAGTGGAGCTGCTACTTCCCACTGATTTGCCTTGAACACATGGCTATAGCCACAGCATAGTGACATGGCTATAGCCATAACGTTAGTGACGCCCCTCACCGGCTCCCCCTGTGGTTCGGGGCCATCCCATTTGACCTTGCCTCTTACCTGTCTGGCTCTTTACCTGGACTGGTTACCTTGGACCCTCTACTAGACAGCTCTGATTCTAGTCAGCCCCTCCCCTTCTCAAGCTCCCCCTGGGGAGAGAGGGGCAATTAGGACCAGGTTCTCAATAATCAAAGGAAAGCCTTCTAAAGTGCTGTACTTCACCACCATTTTCACCCTGGCTCCCAGTGGTGCTCAGGGCCTAGGAATCAGCCTGGAAGGAGCCTAATCCTAGGAGTGTCCCAATTGTGGGATGGATTTACCTGTCTCTGAAAGCTTCCTCCCTTCTCCCCCTCCCCCTGCCAGCTCCCTCCCCCAGGGAAATCACTCTAAAAGGGCCTAATGGAAAGATGTCCTCCTCTCTTCCTCTCTCTCCTCCCTCCCTCCCTCTCTCTCTCTTTCCTTTTTTTTATTAGCATTTGTGGAATTTATTCCCAAACTCTCCTAATCTTCCGTACACAACCATTTGATTTGCATAACCCAACCCCCTCTCATAAAAACTGGCTGCTAGTTTAATTAAAAAATGTAAATTTGCTGTCATCTCGGGGCCTGGTGAATTAGGACGACATCGGCATTTTTTATTGCTAAAGACGTCCAGATTGATCCAGCCCTTGGCTGAACTATGGTCGGGGAAAGGAGGTCCACCTGGCCCCGAGGGTTTCGAGGTCCTATGTCCCCTCCTGAGAAGCCTTGATTCTCCCATCACTGAACTGCTTCTGGGAGGGGACATCAACCCATAATCCATTGCTTGTTGGGTCCCTGGTACCAGCAACCCTTTGGAGCCAGGGCCTTGTACTATGCCAGGGAGGCTCTTAGCTAGAGCTGCCCACGCTACCCCAAAGGAAGAGAGATCCTCAGCACACCAGCCATAAACCCCGGCCAGAGCTGAGGTCCTGGTGTGTCCCTTCTTCACTCTGGTGGCCAAGGGGATGCTCCTAGCTCCTGAGGATGAGCCTGGAGTCGGCTCAGAAACAAGCTTAGAGGGATCTCAAGAGTCCCCATCTGCTTCCCTTTTTTGTGAAATGGAAAAAAAAAAATAATGCTTTTCTTCTGAAGTTCTGAGATTAAGTGAAACTTCCAAGTTCAAAGAAGAAGCTGAAATGGTATCACTAGATGACTCCTCCAGGAAACAGTCAGAACTTTGACACCCTGGACCTCCCCTCTGGGTGGCCAGAGTCCAGGCACAGGTCCCACTGGGAGTGACCTCAGGGGCCCTGCTAGCTTCTAGGAAAAGTTTCCAGAGCATGTCCCTGGAGTGCTGGGAGAAGTAAGTCTCCTTAAGGCCCAGGGGAGATGGTAGAAGAGGCTCTGCCATCTGCCTCCTGCCAGGCCTAGGGGCCCTTGTTCCAGTTGGGTCACCCCACAGGAGGGCTTTGGAATAGTGCCCCGTGGCAGACATGGAGGGACTGACTGAGGCAGGAGGAAGGATGCCAGTTCCAGGTTAGGAGAGGAAGATGCGGAAGGCCTGCCCTCCAGCTGAGCAAGGCCCTGGTCCCATGTGCCCGCCCACAAGAAGAAGCTTGCCTGCCCCAGGTAGGGGGTGGTGGCTGAGTTCTGCTTCTTGACTGGGATGGGTGGAGGCCCTCATTTCCGAAGAAAGGGGGTGGGGCCCGGGAGGGAGGTGATGAGACACCTGATTAGAGGTGGAGGCGGCTGGTTCCCTGTGGGAGTAGAGGGCAGGGAGGGGCAGGGTGGCCTTAGACACCTTCACCACTTTGCCCAGCAGGGGGTGTCACATCCTTCCTGGGCACCAAGGTCCTGAGGACCTCCACATCAGATGAGCCAAGATCACACCTGGTTAGACATAGTCTTAAAGCTCTGCAAACGACTCCTTCCCTCCCCCCCCAACACCCTCTCTCCTTCTCAAAACTGTCCACCATGCCACCCACCTTGGGTCCTTCTGCGCTCCTTGCCTACTCCCCTTTGACCTCGGAAGGTCAGATGTCAGCTCATGGACCCCAAGGGGTAAGGCCGTGAACTTGGGCCTATTATAAACAACTCTTCACAGCCTGCAGTCCCAACGCTCCTTCCGGAAATGAGACAGCGGACGCGCATCAGCCTCAATGGACTGCCAACCTGCTCATATCTTTTACAGCGATGAAGAAGACAGCTGCCCTGGTCACCCTAGGATGCGAGGATCCTGGTGGCAATCTGGTTGCAACAGAGGGGGCTAAAGGAAAGCCTGAAGTGCATATGGCAAACCTCACTCTGGGTTCAGGTGGGAACCCCGGATGGGAAGAGAAGAGATATATTGGGCAAACATATCAAAACTAATAAAATACCACAATCTCAGGATAAATTCTGCCCCAGGCCAGCATCACTGCTCTTCAGAGCCCTAGCCTAGTCCCACACTAGGTCCCCCAAAACCCGAGACCTAAGTTTAGTAGTCTGTCTGGCACATCCCCACCACCGAGGTTACAAAGAGGGATAGGGAGAGAGTCCTGGGCCCCTCACTTTGAACTGATAACAGCCGCCTCGTCCCACAGATTCTCAGGTGAAAAATACTCATTAGCCATAATAAGCAGCTTGACACAGCCTTGTCCCAAATAAATTAAATTCCTTTACCTTGAGACAGTCGCCCCGAAACCAGACTAACCACCTTTCCCAACAGGACGCTGCTTTCAAAAACTAAACCACCCCCCACTAAAAAAATAAAAACACACACCCCACAGCCAGACACACAGAGATCTTTGCTAGGGTGGGGGGAACACAGAGAAAACAGGGAGCCGTACAAAAAACACGGAGAACAAAAACCCCACAAAAAAACCCCTAAATCCTCTCTCTGGGTGCCCCCCAGCTCCCTCTCCTCTCGGTTCTTTCATAATGACAAGCGTCAAATTAGTCACA